GTCTGCAGTCTTGTTACTCTCGTCAGGCTGCTTCCATCTCCTCACACTACACCCTGGTCACCCTGCCTTCATTCTCTCCTATTTTGAGCCAGCGTTCATCACCTTTCTGAATCTCTCTTCTAGAACGTAGATGATTCTTGCTGCGCGGTATGCCTCATCGCCAATGCCAAGGGAACTGAAGGCATGTGTGCAATGGCTGCTCTGGACTCCTGATCTTTCTCCTTCCTGCCAAGTGGGGCTCAGTTTTTCCCACAATCCAGCTTTGACTACAGACAAGTGTGGCTCTTCTGAGGATGGTAAAACCCGTGTTCCCAACTGCTCATGTGGATTCGAAGCACCTGCTATTCTGACCAGCTCATCCAGAAACGCGCCGCCCCCCCCCCTCCTATGTCCATCAATGGATTTTCTTTTCTTTTTAAAAATGTTTATTCCCAAGCTAACTGGTACAGAAAATGTGTGGAATATCTTACAAGAAATAGTCATATACAGAATTTAGAAGTAAATTCAATTCTAGATGTAAAATTTCAGAATTTAGATGCAAAATAACACATCATGGTCAAATTAAGTTTTTTTCTAGGAACATAAGATTTATTTGTCTACCTGAAAAGTTGCTACTGTATTTTTACACAAATAGCACATGCCTTAAATGTTTTATTTCCAAGCCATCCAAAGCCCTCATGTGCTAGTTTTTATGCATGTTATATGCATTGGTGTATTATAGATGAAAATATAGTAATATGTTAAATATAGTATACAAGATTCTTTCAATATCAAACAGTTGATGAAATTCAACACAAAATTTTAAACTTGGAAGATTGAATATATCCTTTAAAGAAAAGTAATCTATTAAATACGAAGACACGATATGATCCTTGTAAATAATAAATTTTAAACGAAAAACAGAAGCAAGGCACGTGTTCTCCCTATGGTTGATCCTGCGCTACAGAATCTTGCCCAAGTTCTGACACAGACCCTGCTACACACACACATGCTCACATGCACAAAGACCACAGCAATTAATTTGAAGAAATCAAATCAACAGGTGGATTTACAGTGAATTTGAAAAAGAAAAATGTTTTATAAAGTGGACAAGAGCCTTTGGAATGAGCTCTACCTGGATATCAGTCCTGGCTGCAGCAATGAGCGGCCTATGGCCTCAATCTCCCTGAGCCTTCAACTCCTCGTTTGTCACCTGGGAGTAATCGGCCCACATCCCTGGGTTGTTGTGAGCACTCAGTGTAATCAGTCAGATGCTCAGCATACTGCCGGGCATAAAGTGATCCCTGTGGTTACAGCAAGCCTGCTAAGTCACTGATTCAGTTATCAAAACACCCTTTGTTAATACTAGTCATCTCTATGAAAAGAGACTGATGGCTAACAAACAAGCAGTCCTCATTTATGCTAATTATCAGCTAAAAAGAGTCTTCTTCATAAGTAATGAAGCAAAGGCATAAATCACATGGAGTGTGGCTCCACAAGAGGTGCGACTCTGCCACACTGCTGTCTAGTGGAGGCTGACTCATGGCGACCCTGTGGAGCAGGGTAGGCCTGCCTCTGTGAGTCTCTCAGACTAGACTCTTTACGGGGGAAGAAAGGCCCATCTTTCTTCTGAGAGTTATGGAGGACTTACACAAATATTGTAGAGGGAAAAGAAAAGAAAGCCTATATTAACACAGGCATAAACCCTGTGCCTGAACAAGACTGAAATGTTTACAAATTAAACAACTTAAAACTCTATAAACTGTAAATACAAGCAAAATGAGAAGAGTTTTTGAATCTAATATGTGGCTTCAGAGCAATCGCAAAGAAAATGTTGTAGAAAGTGCCGTGAATTTCAATGAGAAATAGGCAGAAAAGAGGCAGAGGGAGCAGTCTGGAAGCCTCGAATCATAGAAGGGCAGTGTTAAGTGAGGTTTCTCAATAAATGCAACGCTCACCTGAGAAAAGTGTAGCAGATGAACGAATAATAGCTGCAATGTTTTAAAAGCCTATATACATTGGCAACAAAAAGAAACTAAAAGCAAAAGAAAACAAAAAAACACCCCTCCCAAGACTCCATGGATATATGGGCCAGAAAGCAAGACTATCTGTCTCCATCAGTTCCTGAAAGGGTTAGATTAAGTTAGGGGTACAGAGTGACTGACACTGTAAGAAATATTGCATTTATTTTTTTATAAGTGGATTTTAAGAAGGAGGACATAGACAGAGACAATAGAGTAAGGAAGGAGATTGGGTGGAGTTTCCCCACTGCTGGAGGCACAGGGATGACAGTGCTCAGGAGTGGGGAGACTGATACCTGGCAGGGGTGGGAGTGGGGGGGAGACAAAGGCACAGAGGCAAGAGGGTGAGTGGGCACAGGGCGGAGGATCTGGGAAAGGAGACAGGTAGGCAGGAACCTGGTCATTGGATACCCTCACCGTTCGAAGCTCACTTCATGGCACTTAGGGCTAGTCAGAGACTGCATTTTTATACATACCTGTTTCAGCTCCCCTACTACGTCTTACACTATTTTGCCCTTTTTTTTTTAATTTAAAAAATCTTTACTCAGGGTGGAGCCAGGACAGGTATTTTTTTTTTTAACATTTTATTAGGGGCTCATACAACTGTTATCCCAATCCATACACACATCAATTGTGTAAAGCGCATTTGTACATCGTTTCTCAAAACATTTTCTCTCCATTTAAACCCCCGACATTAGGTCCTCATTTTCCCCTCCCTCCCCGCTCACCCCTCCCGCATGAGCCCTTGATAGTTTATAAATGGGTATTTTGTCATATCTTGCCCTGCCCGACTTCTCCCTTCATCCACTTTTCGGTTGTCTGTCCCCCAGGGAGGAGGTCACACACAGTTCCATGTAATTGGTTCCCTCTCTCCTACCCATTCTCCCTTTACCCTCCCTGTTTTGCCACTCACACCACTGGTCCTATAGGGCTCATCCATCCTGGATTCCCTGTATTTCCAGTTCCTATCTGTACCGGTGTATCTCCTCTGGTCTAGCCAGTCTTGCAAGATAGAATTCGAGTCATGGTAGTGGGAGCGGGGAGGAAACCTTTAGGAACTAGAGGAAGGTTGTATTTCTCATCATTGTTACATCGCACCCTGACTGGCTCATCTCCTCCCCGAGACCCCTCTGCAAGGGGATCTCCAGTGGCCTACTAATGGGCTTTGGATCTCCACTCCACACTCCCCCCATCATTCACTATGGTAAGATTTTTTGTTCTGATGATGCCTTACACCTGATCCCTTCGACACCTCGTGGTTGCATAGGCTGGTGTGCTTCTTCCACGTGGGCTTTGTTGCTTCTGAGCTTGATGGCCGCTTGTTTACCTTCAAGCCTTTAAGACCCCAGACGCTATACTTTTTGATAGCCGGACACCATCAGCTTTCTTCACCACATTTGCTTATGCACCCATTTGTCTTCAGTGATCCGTTCGACACCCCGTGATCACACAGGTTGATATGTTGTTCCATGTGGGCTTTGTTGCTTCTGAGCTAGATGGCCGCTTGTTTACCTTCAAGCTTTTAAGACCCCAGACGCTATATCTTTTGATAGCCGGGCACCATCAGCTTTCTTCACCACATTTGCTTATTCACCCGCTTTGTCTTCAGCGGTTGTGTCGGGAAGGTGAGCATCATAGAATGCCAATTTACTAGAAGAAAGTATTCTTGTGTTGAGGGAGTACTTGAGTGGAGGCCCAATGTCCTTCTGCTACCTTAATACTAAATCTATAAATGTAGGCTCATAGATCTATTTCCCCATCCTCATATAATATATTTGTATATGTACATGTCTTTATCTAGAGCTCTATAAATACCCTTTGCCTCCCAGCTCTTTCCTCTATTTCCATTGATTCTCCTCCTGTCCCACTATCATGCTCAGTCCCCACCAGGATTTCAGCACTTCCTCTTTGTTACGTTCCCCTTGATCCTGCCCTACCAGGTCTTCCACACCCACCTCCCCACCAATTTGGATCGCTTGTTGTTCCCTTGTCCCTGTGTTTGTTATCCCCTCTTCTTCCCTTCCCCCCTCCTCCCCCTCTCCCATGAGGACAGGTATTTTTATAAGCACTTTCGGACACACACACACACACACACACACTCTGACTTCGGGGGATGATAATATGCCGATTCTGCCTCAGAGGGAGCTTCTGGACAGAGTACGACAGCCTGTTCCATTTCCTAGGCTGCAATCTTCACAGCCCTGTCTTTTTTTCCTGAAGAGCAACTGGTGGGTTCGAACCGTCAACCATTTGGCTAGCTGATGAGCTCTTCAACCACAGCTCTACCTCCGTATCCTAGCCAAGCCTCAGGGTTATGGGCACCCTTATTTCGTAGCAGGCACTTCTCTGGGCACTTTACCACTAGGAACCCGTGTGAGTCTCAGGACAACCTGAAGAGGCAGGTGTGATGAGCAGCCCTGTTTCTCTTGGGTGGGTGGTTATGTAGAGGGTCGGTCTCAGAGTTGGGTGGAAGGTGGACAATAGGCGTCCCCCTTCTGGCTCCCAGTGGCAGCTGGGTCAGCGGCAGGCCAAGAAGGGTTACGATTCCCACAAGGCCATCAAGAGGGGTGAGCCACGTAGAGGAGAGTGGCATTGGGGGTGGGGGAGGGGCGAGGAGAAAGAGGCTGGAAGATGAACCAGAGAGGATGCGTGGGTGAGGTGAGGCGGGGGTGGTGAGGAGCCTGGAGGTTTGGGCAGGGGGGCGGCTGGTAGTGCTCTGAGAGGGGAGGGTTGGAGCTTGGACTTCCTGGTGACGGCAGATTAGAACACGGATGCCTTTGAGATGAGGAACCGATTTGAGTGGCTTCCTGGGTGTGAGGCGGAAGGAAAAGGAAGTGTCAAAAGTTTAGACCTGGCTGACCCTCCAAGACCACTGATACATCAGCATATATTCTCCTGGGTCCGGCCCACACAAACCACTGGCATGGACGAGGACTGCTGCCAGGAAGCCAGGGCCCACGCGCTCACCCTCTGGGGTCAGAGGGGACCCACCCCACCTACCTTTCTCTTGCTCAGCTGCTTCACTCAGTTCGGGAAGCTTGAGCCCCACTAAGTTCTGATTCCTCATCAAGATGTGCTCCTTGGAGGGGAAAGGAAAAGACAACAGTTCAGACACGGCCATCAGGCCGACTCTCCTCTCGATCCAATGGCTCTGTGACCACGACGGCTTGGGTGGAAGACACTTCTGGTCCGCTTCAAAGGTGGGGTGGACAGTCGTGCGGCAGTAAGCCATGAGGAGCACCGGGCAGACAGCCTCCTCCCCCAGCCTGTGGCTGGGCCATACCTGGCATTCCACCATGTATGCCACATTCCTTGTGCCCAGAATTGCCCTCCACAGGGGCCGTTTTTCGAAATGAGCCAAGTGCCGCGAGTTGAAGAAACTGCTCAGATAATACTGCGGTTCAGCCTTGCCGAGAGCCTGGAGGACACACTACAACCTTGGCGGTGTAGTAAGGTCCCCTGGGCATGTCTGGGGATGCCCGAGCAGCCAGCGGTGCCCGTCTCATGGCTGTGCTCTGAGCTGGCTGGAGCTTCCAACCCTATGACTCAGACTAGGGAGCTGTGACCCCCTCATCCACTCAGTTCCTCAGTGACCTTTTTAAAAATAATACTTTTATTGGGGCTTCTTACATCTCTTATCACAATCCATACATTGCTCCAATGTGTCACGCACATTTGTACATATGCCGCCATCATCATTTTCAAAGCATTTTCTTCCCACTTGAGCCCCTGCTATCAGCTCCCCATTTCTTCCCCTTCCTTCCCTGACCCGCCCTCCCTCACGAACCCTTGATAAGTGATAGATTATTTCCATATCTTACATCGTCCTCCATTGCCCCTCACCCACTTTTCCATTATTTGTCCACCTGGGAGGGAGTTCTAGGTGGATCCTTGTGATCAATTCCCCCTTTCTCCCCCCACCCTCCCCTAATCCTCCTAGTATCTCTACTCTCCTTGTTGACCCTGAGGGGTTTATCTATCCTGGATTCCCTGTGTTTGGGGCTCTTACCTGTAGCAGTGTGCATGTTCTGGTCTAATCCAATTTGTAAGGTAGAATTGAGGTCATGATAGTAGGGGGAAGGAAGCACCAAAGAGCTAGAGGAAAGTTGTGTGTTTCATTGGTGCTACACTGCACCCTGACTGGCTCATCTCTTCCCTGTGACCTCTCTGTGAGGGGATGTCCAGTGGTCTACAGATGGGCATTGGGTCTCCCCTCCATGTCCCCCCCCCCCCATTGATATTGGGTATGGTTTTATTCTGGGTCTTAGATGCCTGATACCTGATCCCATCGACACCTCATGATCACACAGGCTGGTGGGATTCTTCCATGTGGGCTTTGTTGCTTCTGAGCTAGATGGCTGCTTGTTTATCTTCAAGCCTTTAAGACCCCAGACTCTATATCTTTTGACAGCCGGGCACCATCAGCTTTCTTCACCACATTTGCTTATGCACCATTTTGTCTTCAATGATCATGTTGGGAAAGTGACCATCACAGAATGCTGGATTGTTAGAACAGGTGTTCTTGTGTTAAGGGAGTACTTGAGTTGAGGCCCAATGTCCATCTGCAACCTTAATTCTTAACACATATAGATGAGTACATAGTTCTATTCCCCTCTCATTATATATATATTTACATATGTACATGCCTATATTTAGGCCTCTATAAATGTCCTTTGCCTCCTGGTTCTTTCCTCTATTTCCTTTTTACTTCCCTCTTGCAGTGACCTTTTTTTATGGGACCCCTTACATTTTTAAACTGTCCAGACAAATGAGGTCTTGGAATTGCTGCCTAAGGCAGCAGGCCCTGCTGACACTACCTTACCAGGGGCTTCGCTTGGGCAGTCATAGCCTGGGGAGAGATGGACTGCAGGATGCAGTACAGATGGACTCACACCTGCTCCGAGACAATTAACACCAGGCCAGGGTCCTCAAGGGGAAATACCTTGAAGAGCCTCTCACTCCTTGTACCTATAAGTAGGTTTGTATCGTCTCCAGTGACGTGTGATCCATGAGGTCGCCCTTGGCAACCACCAGCTGCTCCTCTTGGAGAAAGGTGGGCTCCCTACTCCCATAAAGAGTTCCAATCTCAGAAACTCACAGGGGCAGTTCCCCCTCATCCTCCAGGGTCGCTGGGAGCCGGGATGGACTCGATGGCAGGGGATTTGTTTTTTGTTTGTTTGTTCTGCACAGAGGTGATGGGTGGTATTGCACCCAGCTATAGAGGGAAAGGTAGAGGCTGGTGGAGGTTCCCAGAGCCCCAGTGGAAGTCAGTCAGGCCCCTTTACCTGTTGACTTTGAAAGCCAGAGTAAACTGGCTCTCAGACGTCAACTCAGGGTGAGAAGGGGCACTCAGCTGCCAGGGCAGTGATGAGTGAGAGCTGTGGCCTTCTTGCCGGATAGCTGTCTTTGCTGGCTGAGATGAACTTAATGGGGGCAGGGGCCTAGGCCTGGCTTTGGATGCTCAGGGACCCAAGAGGCAACTCCCTAGCAGTTGGGCCCTTCAGCTTCCCAGTTGCCAGAGACCTGGGGCCATAGCTCACAAATGGCAGTTCCAACAGCCCCTGTGCTGATCAGCAAGTTAATCAGTTCTTCCTGGCTGGTGGGGGTCTCTTTATCAAATCTAAAAATCCACAGCCAGGCCTCAGCTCCACGTGAGCTGCCAACTCTGAGCACCATGGCAGGCTTCAGAATTGGGCCATGACCAGAGTCTACCATGTCCTCGCTGACACAGAAATCCCCTCCCTGAGGCTTGAGCACGATCAAGAGCCTCTTTTCCGTCTCTGGCCCATGGACCTTCTTTGGGCAGCCAGGAGAGCCTTGTACCATACCCAGCGGCCTTGCCCTGGGCTGACCTTCTAGGTGAGAGGATTCTATTTGTGCTGCTCTTTCTCTCCTGGACACTCTCAGGGCCATCTCCCCTGATCTCTGGGCTCCTTGCACAGGGTAGGAGCCCCAGGAATGACCAGTGTGATTGGCTTGATGACCAGGGAACTTAGAGGACACCGTCGGAGCAGAAGAAATTTATCACAGGCGCAGCAACAGCCCTGCTGGCCATCACCATACTTGAAACCCTTTGTCCACAGGCATCAGGAAGCACAGTTTGGGCACTGCAGAGGAAACGCGCTCTCATCCTTGCCTTGTCCAGTTCTAGGACAGACAAGGAGCCCACCAGGGGGCTCCTGTTTGTGGACCACCAGCTCCGATTGGAGGAGGGAAACAGCCCAGGGCTGAGGGACCCAAGTGTCCTCCACATTTAGGCCTTGTGTGGCTACTCTATCCCAGGCTGACCTCTCCCGTAAGTGGGGTAACAAGTGCCTAACTCTGGTGTTTAAGACAGTGGCTACCCTGCTGGGCCTGGTTTAAATGGCGGGGAAGCTTATGACCCTACAAGGCCCAGGGCCAGGCCCGATCTTCCTTGCTCCAAGCCCAGTCCTAGCCCTGAGGCTCCTCAACCCATGGGGCCTGGAGCACGCACCGTCTGGCCCCCAGGAACCCACCTCTCGGAGCTTGGTCAGTTTCTGCATCCTCACGGGCTGCACTTGTATCTGGAAGTCTTTGAGTCCGGGAGCCTTGGCCACCTTGCTGCAGCCTTTGCCTGCAAAACGCTTCTCCTCCTCTGTCAGTGGCAGTTTAGCAAGCACTTTCTGCAGCCTGGGGCCGGCTTCCTCGGGGCCACTATCCCAGGAGACCCCCCGCAGCAGGAGAGGGTGGGACACTGGGGGCCCCAGCTCAGCTTTGGAGCCAGTCTTGGGCCCTGTTGGCTCCCCTGGTGGTCCTTTCCCCTGGGGGGCCAGGGGGACTCCCCCTGCAGAGCCCTGGGCTGGACTTCTTGGCAGAGGGTCGCCCTCCCTGGCTGTCTTCAGGAGCTGCCTCCCTAGCTCGCTGTCCATTGGCCCCGGCTGGGGGCTGTTCAGGGCCATTTTTCCGCCACTGCCTGTGCCAGGAGCTGGGCCCTTGGGTGTGGTTTCCGGGTGCTGGAGGGGATCAAAGTTCTCCTTTTGTTCTATTGCCGTCTCTTTGGACTTCTCAACCATGGGTGAGCGAGGAGCCAGCCGCCCCTGAGACACTTTCCTCTGGTCATTCTGCTTCCGATCAGCTAGCCCTTTGGGAACATTCTGAAAGAGAAGGAGAGAGCTAGGATTCTGGGGGCAGCTTGGGGAGAAGGTAGGTGTGGTCAGGTCAGGTCTGAGGTGGGGCCTCTGTTCCCGCCAGCCTTTACAAGGAGCCCATTTGCTTTGGGGAGAAGGTGAGGGGAGGCAGGAGGGGGAGGTTTCTCCGTTAGGGGCTTGAGTCAGCAAACAAGGCTGGGGGTTGTAAGACAGAGAGGTCAATGGAGCTCGGGGCTGGTGTTCTAAAACCAGCCCCCAACTGCCCAAGGGCTGGATGCCGGCGGGGAGACTGGAGATCAGGGCAGCTCAGGGAAGCCTCGCATGTTTGGTCCCAACTCAGTTGCCCCAGGTTTTAATTGTAGCTCTCTCTGGAAAGGTCTTAACTCTTAGGAACTCAGATGTCTCATCAAATATGTGAAACTGTGTGAGGTAGGGTGTGTGTGTGTGTGTGTGTGTGTGTGTGTGTGTGTGTGTGTGTGTGTAAGAAGAGTTCATAGCTTTCACAAAATCCTCAAAGCATTCAATGATCCCAAAGCGGCTCAGAGTCATTGGGTGGGGCCATTCTTGTAAAAGGTGGCTATCTTACTGCTCAGAATTTCTAAGACCCTGCACTCTGCTCTCACCTTCCATCCCCCCATGGGGTGTTTGCTTGGAGGGGAGTGAGTGGGGCTGGGCCTGGGTATTTGAGTAGCTGGGCTTGTGTGTGCACTAAACCGCTTTGAAAGCCTGCCATCCTGAATCCAGCAAGATTGTGTTCTAGCACTGCCCTCGACACAACCTTTAGCACCTCAGTCCCTTGTACTGCTCATGGACAAGGATAAGGGTTTCCTGGCTGCTTCTAGTGAAAATTCCAACCCGGGTCTTAAACTTACAGTTTTCACTTAAGTTGACAAGAGCAGCCTTCTTACCTGGCTGCTGGGCCCCGGGGTCCCTTTTCTTACGAACCAGCAGCATGATGCGGCTGGTATGGAGCAAGACCACCCCACTGAATTCTGCTTCCTTTATCCCTCCACCTCAAACTCCTAACCATGAGGGCAGGGGTCTGCCAGTGTCCCCAGCCTCGACCCTCTGTGTGCGCGCGCGCGCGCACACACACACACACACACACACACACACAGGTTGCCCAGACTAGGGGGGTGGGGTGGGGGGAAAGGGGGTACTGTGGCTCCCACACCAGAGTCCCCATGTAGGACAAAATCCAAACTCACACACTCGCCGAGGTGAGGTGCAGAGACGGCGGCCTCATCCCCCTTCTGAAGCTGAAAGTAAACACAAGTCCATCAGCGAGGGGGGAAGAGACTACATTTCCTCTTGAAACGCCTCCAAGCAGGCCATTAGCAGTGGTGTAAATTCCTCCCTCTGAAGTAGGCCACTTGGAGAGGCTCCCTGGGCCTTAGGGGCTAAGAAGAAGATGCCTTGGCATAGAAACCCGGAGTGGGCCTGTTACCTGTGATGGTGCTCCGGGCAGAGGGGTCTGCGGGCCACTGCACGCATCCAAACCTGAAACGGCCCAGATCCTGGTGAGTGTTGTCCCCCACCCCTACCCCAACCCCAGTTGTCCCTCTCACAATGTCCTTCTTAGCAACATGGTCCTGGAGCCATTTGTTGACTACCTCTCCCCTGTGCCAGGTTCCGTGGGGGACTATCATGTAATCCTCACAGAAACTATACGGGGAGCCCAAGGCAAGCTTCCACGGCTGCTAAGTACCAGCATGAGATCTGAACCCCGGATACCCTGATCTGAAGTCAAGCTTGTCACACAGTGCTGACCAGCGTAGACTGCCTGCCCTGCCCCCCAGTCCCTTCCCCTGATGGTCAAGGGGGTGACCTAGCAAATGATAGGAACCCAAAAGACAAAGAGGGGCCCCAATGACTTTCCAAACAAGCTCTGTGCTGGACCGACCCCCCCTGCCCACTCTGTTGAGCACAGAGGCTGTCATAGCACCCCTTTTCATCCCCTCACCCCTATCCTCATTCCATCTGGTGATCCTGGGTTAGGTCTGCCTCCCTACAGTATTCCCCCAGCCCCACAAAGGAAGTACACCTGCCTCCGCTGGAGCTGACCAGGGGCACTGAAGGGAGGGCTACAGGATAGGAGAGAGTGCCGGAAGGCATCTTGGTCAGTCCACGGGCAGGGCTAAGGCCATCCACAGAGCCAAGTCAGGGCAGGAAATGCCTAGCCAGTGGGGGTGTAGACCTCACCTGGTGGGGGCTGGAGCTCCCCTGGAGGGCTGGGGACTGTGAGTGAGTTGCTCCGAGAGGATCTGGGGGATGACCCGGGGCTGAGGTTGGGGGAAGCACCTGTGGACACACGCTCCAATTAGCGGACACTTGGGATGGTTTAATAGGACTTCAACCTAACAAAGACCTGCTTTCAGAAATGCCTGGCCCCTGGGATGGGGATGCGCAGCTGATCCCTAATAGCTACAGAAGGCTCCTTCTTCGACCACAGCCTCTCCCTGCTGCCTGCCCAACAGAGGGGCTGGCACGCCACAGACTGCCTGGCCTGACCTTGAAGCACCTTCCAGAAACCAAAGGCCTGGTATTGCTTGAGAGGCACAACTTCAAACACTATGCCCCCTACTAGATTTCCCATCATGCACCTGGTGTCAAGCATTTCCCCGCCCTCCTGGGGCTGTTGTTTCTGTTCAGGGCCATCAAGTTGGCGGAGGCGTAGCGACCATACGCACCACAGGGCTCGTCAGTCTGTGCTCTCCTTCAATTATTCCCAAACCCAATCCCACGTCCTGCTCACAATGAAGAGTCACCCTCGCCACAGGACCATTTCAAGAACATTTCAAGGAATTTTCCTTCTAATTCCAAAATGCCTGAAAGACTCCTCCTCCCTTCCCTCTGTTTCCCCCACAGTACCTGGGCCCCTCATGAGGACCCAGAGCTGCAGATCAGGGAGAGGAGCCTAGCGACAGCTGACTGGGGAGGTGTCCAGGAGAGCAGGGCTTCCCCGGGAGGGGAGGGCCGTGACCCTGAGCCCACCCAAGGCGGTGGAAGCTGGCAGCCCTGGGGGCGGGGTGTTCAACCTCATGGATATCAAATGCCCTGGTACGTTTAGTGAACAGGAAACTGCAAAGGTTTTCATCAGGGCCAGAACAATGACAGGCAGAAGCTTCCTTGGCTAAAGTGTACAGGCCTTTCTGGAACTGCCCAAGATGCCCTGTCCTCTGAGGGTCTTCCACAAGAACTCACTCTTCTTGGGGCCTAGAGGCAGGCAAGGCAAAGGCACCCCCCTTGGAAGCCAAGCCCCTGTGACAACCTGGGCCAGGTCCCCCTGCACCTGCTGCCCCTCCTCCCTGCTTTGGAACGGTGCTGGACGGTCACCTTGGTACTGTCCTACCTGCTGGTGAGCCTCCCGGGCTGCCTCTGGACTTTCTTCCTCGGCGGGTCAGGAAACGCTCGCTTACTGTCTTGGCTTCGTCCAGCAGGGCCAGATTTTTCTTCTTGTCTTCCTCTGAGATGCTGATGTCTGGCAGCTGGTCGTTTACCAGGTCAATGATGTGTCCTGAGGGGTCTGCAGAGGGACAGGAGCTCAGCGTGGGAGGCCCTGCATCGTTGGCCCCAGGCTGAATGGCCACCACCCCCACTTCAACCCAGGGATGCTGCCTAGTGCACACCCAGCAGGCAAACCCTGACCATGCCCGCCCAAAAGACAAGCTAGGTGGAGACAGAGGGTGACTTCCTCAGCAGGCCTGGGTCCTCTGGCCTTTAGCCTGTGGCTGTGGTATTTCCTCTGTCACACGAAGCTCCCTCAGGTTGGCATACTACCCTGAGCCGTCTTTATGGAAAGAAGTCCCACCTGCATGCTGCTTTCCTCCTCTCCGCCCGCCCCCTACTGTGGCCCTACTTAAGAGTCTGTTCTTTGAACAAGCAGGTGAATGAAGTTGTGTGCACGAAGGGAGCCTTTCAAAGGTGGACCACAGACACAGTCCCATGGCCACTTCCCCTTGCTTCTTTCTTCACGTACATTGTTCACCATCTTCCTCCAAAACCGCCCCTGCTCCAGCATCCCCTCTCTGGACGAAAGACACCCGGTTCTCACCCAGGTCCTCAGAAACAGAGTCACTGCACTCCTCTCTGTGCCTCACTGCCCCCCACGTCCAACCAGCCAACTGATGGAGCCCCTCATCTCTAGGCTTGCTCTTTCCTGGACAATGACATCAGCCATCTCACAGCCACAGCCAGCCAGCCTGCCTCAGGGCTTTTCCCTCCACGGTCACCCCCTCTGATGGTCTAAGGGCTGTAGCTGACCACGGTCATTCTTCTGCCTCGTTTTGTCGAGGTTGCTCATGATGCTCAGCGTAACATCCAAACTCAAAACTGGGCCCTTCCCCACACACTCACTCCTAGAACTCTCTACTCCAGCTACTTGGCAGTGGATGACCCTGGGTTTTCTGGTTTTGGTGTTGTTGCTTTGCCTTCCCAGCCTCCGGTCAGTCCTTCCTTTCCAGAAACTAGCTCCTAACTTCTCCTTGTGGGGAACCTACCGGACCCTTGCATGTGTTAGTGGGGAGCCAAACCCTCCCTACCTCACCCCCGTGCTAGGGGTGGGAACATGTCCCAATCTTGGCCAATCAGTACATTCAGTCCCTTCAGTCACAATGAGGGGTTGACAGTCATGTGAATCCAGTGACAGTGAGTACTGACTATGGGTGATGTTTACTAGGAAATAGAAGCTCTCTTCTGGCTGTGGGATATGGCTGGTAGACCTGTACCACCATGTTTGAAGAACCTGCCCAAGAAGCAAGCTAACGCATAAGACAGCAAATGGGAGAGATGGAATGGGACCATTATTAAAACCCACTTTGACGATCTGGATTCAACACTACCTGAAACCACAGCCCTGGCTTTTGTTTAGTTTTAGGGTGTGTGTGTGTGTGTGTGTGTGTGTGTGTGTGTGTGTGTGTGTGCTAGCTTGAGTTAAGTTTTGATCACTTGAAAGAGTATGAACTCATGCAGATGGTAGGGCGTTCAGTTACTCACAGTGCTCGCAGAGGCTCTGTTGCTCTGTCGTGTTGCTGCTTCTACCTGGAATGCTTTCTCTCTCTCATCCTACCTATCCAACTCTCTAGCCGAGATGTTCCATCCCTCCAGAACACTTGCTTAACGCTCTTCCTACCCAAAGAGAACTGGCCTCCTTCTTCTCTCCCTTCCCCTAGCACTTCTGTGAAGGCCCTTGCAATGTAGCCGCTTGATTATAACTGTCCACTTCTCAGGTTCCTGGTGGACCGCGTGCTCCGGAAAGATAGGAGCGAAAGCTGTGTTATATTGAATACACTGGCCAGGGTCCGTTCACCGCTGTAGAGTGGATCCTGACTCATAGGAACCCTATACAACAGAGTAGAACTGCCAGGGACTGGGGTCCCAAGGCTGAAGATCGTTACAGAAGCAGATTGCCACAATTTTTTCCCCCATCGAGCAGCTGGTGGGTTCAAACTGCTGAGGTTTGGGTTGGCAGCTGAGGCCTTTAGTCATAGTGCCACCAGCGCTCCTTGGTGCAGGGCAGCCCTGAGAAAACGTGTGAGGAATGAGTGTGTAATGGGCAGCCAGCCTTATCCTGCCGGGCTAAGGGTCTCTCTACTGGAAGCCAAGGGCTCCACCGCCTTAGCCCCTGCATGGAGCCTCACCAGCTGTTCGGTGTCCTGTCTCTCTTTGCCTCATCTTCTTCATGCCTTGTCTTTTTAGCCAAAAGACATTGAAATCAGATACCATGCTTGTTCAGAACTCAAACAGAGCAGGCCCGATCAACTTTACTCTATTGGACTTAAAAGGCTGGGCCCCTGGTGGCGTAGTGGTTATGTCTTAAGCTGCGAACCACAAAGCCAGCCGTTCAAAACCACCACCTGCTCCTTGGAAGAAAGATGCGGCTTTCTCCTGTACTCCAATACCCTTTCATCTTCAAATACCCTTTCATCTTCACGCGCAGAAAAAGAGTGATCGGTCTCGTCCTCACCCACAGAAGTCAGCGGAGCTGCGGAAACCTTCAGGCGTCGGAGAGGAAGCCTCCTGTGTGGACTGTGCGCTCTGAAAGGCAACAGAGCCAGCTCGGTAAGAAAAGGCCGTTCAAAACCCGGGAATCCGGCAAAAACACCTCGGCATCCTTTCACAGTTGCACACCCACGTTCAGTGAAGGGCCACTGACTCAACCTGGGAACCGGTTAGCAATGCAAATTCCAGGCCTACGTCCTATTAGGCGCCATCGAGCCGGTTCCGACTCACAGAGACGCTCCGCACGCAGAAGGAAGCACTGCGCGGTCGTGCGTGGCCACCCGCACCGTGGCTCTTATGTTGGAGCCGCCGAGGCAGCCCATCTCCCGCCGCAGGGCAGGGGGGTCGGCAGTAGACTCCTCTCCTCCCAGGCAGGAGACCCCCTGGGTTCAACTTCCAGGCCGTCGAGGGAGGCTCGCGGGTCCCTGTGCTACTGAACAGACTTCCGCAGCGCTCCCAGATGACCACAGACTCGGAAGACGGCCTCCCTGATAGACTTCCAAAACTCAGCCAAGGCAAACCCCCTGGTAACAGCTGTAGAATGCCCAGCCGATTGGGG